GAGTTCACCAGACAGCATGAGGAGGAACCGTCAAGTCTGGTCAGACTAGACGCTACCAAACACATCATGACAAACGTAGCTGTGAAGCACGGCGGTGGCAGCATCATGATGTGCTGCTAAATGCTGACTGGACATTACTGTGTAGAAATCTGTTTTCACTCTTTCATAAAAAGGTCTTTTGTGTAAATTCTTGATTCACTGTTGAAAAGTAATAAAAGGGGAAACTTCCCAGGGGGTGAATATTTCATATCAGCACTGCAGCTGGAACATCGTGTTCCTCCTACGTAGCATTCACTACATGCTTACATGTGCCAGGTATGATGTTCACATCACTCGCTACAGGACGGTCACTGTGCTGTACGCCCAGCTCAAAGTAAAAGCTGTAGAGTGCTGTTTACTGCAGATTTAAACCTAAAGATTAGTGCAGGAATAGTTTCAAATGCATCTCTTTTGTTCTGTAAAGCATTCAGACTCATTTAACTGAATCTCGTGAGGCAGCTGGATTCACAAGAAAATCCATCTGGCCGGGCTTTGTCAGAACACTCAGCATCCTGTGAGGAAGTCCTGGCAGCTACAGGCAGGTTTAGGCCTGACAGCAGTGTGTGGCGGGTCCAAGGCCCGGTCCCAGGCTCCACCCTGAGGCCTGAACCCAAACAGACTGAACTGACATCACAGTTGTGGTGCTTCTGAAGTGTGTGAGTTTTTCAGGGCTTCAGAGGATGTAGAAAGGAGGATTCAGAGAAATCATCATGACAACAAAGTCCCACCTCCTCCATGTTTCTGTCACCAACTTTTAATTTTGTCCTAATTAAGATGTCAACGAGGTGCTGAGGAGACCAGATCCCAGTTTTTAAAATCTTAACCTTTTATCAGGCACGGAACCATATATGGTAACTTCCCAGAGTCACGTGACTTCATCCAGCCAATCAGGGAAGGCCAGGCTGTACAGTCACTACGGCCTCTGACCAATCACAAGTGAACCACATGATATTTGGTCACAGCTGGTGATTTAAAAATAAATGTTCCATCATCTTTATATGTGTATTTATTTATTTATTCTTTTTTTTTTTTTACAATGATTTATCCACATACTATTTGATTTTTTTAAATTTTATTTCATTTTGTTTTTTACCTGAATCATACATGCTAACTGTGGAGTAGTGAGAGTTTCAAATTACAAAAATAAATCATTGAAAGAATAATAAAATAAAAGTGGAAATAAAAAGACGAATAAATAAAATAAAAAATAAACAATGTGGCAATATAAAGCAATATTAATCAAACATTTATCCATAAAAGAAAAGGCTAATAAAAGTAGAACTATATATATATATAACTATAAAGACAAATAAATACAATTATTATATATTTTATATTAAATATTTTTTATAATTTTTTTATTTTTATTTTTGTTTATTTATTCATTTTTTTATAATGTCGCTTTAAAAGCAAAGGGAATATGTGCAGAAAAATGTGTGCAGTAGGAATGTCATGGTGCCCATATTTCCTTTGCTTTTAAAGCGACATTATTAAATAAAAAAAAAATTAGTTAATTAAAATAATACCAATAAAAATTGAATATATATATATATATATATATATATTTTAATTAATAAATGATAAAAATAACTAAAAAACAAATAAATTTAAAAAATAATACAAAAATAAATAATTATTATTTAGAGTATTTTATTTATTTGTCTTTATATTTCTACTTTTATTAGCCTTTTCTTTTATGGATCCGTTTTTGATTAATATCACTTTATATTGCCACATTATTTATTTTTTATTGTATTTCTTCTTCTTTTTATTTCCACTTTTATTCTATTATTCTTTTATTGATGTATTTTTGTCGTTTGGAGCTCTCACTGCTCCATAGGTAACTGCCTGAATCTGAAACTCTTTTTAAAAAGTCAAAAAAGAAAAAATGTCCTCTTAGATTCACCAACATTACTCCAAGGTTTAAACTTTAGATGTTCAAGTGTTTAATGAGTGTCCTGTAGAGGGTGGACGTGGTTCTCCTGTCTGGACAACAAGTGGCCTCCATGTGTTGTTTTACTGCATAAAAAACACGAGTTTTCCAGACTGTCAGCAGCGATGGGCCTCGTGTCATGTGTCTGAAGAATTATATTTTGTAGTTCATGAAGAATTAAACGTTTTGCAGGCAATAAGTTTGGTTTATTAAATCTTGTAGTGTTACTCCGGCAACCTATAATCCTCTCTACAGTTCTTCACGAGTTGATTTCATGTTTCGTTGTTCGTTTTGACTTCTGTCACAATCTGAATGTAAGCAAAGAACATCTGTGAATTCTACACACGTGTTTCACTGAACATACAAACAACATGACAAAAAACAACAGTGAGCAGCCGATGCTATCACCGATCACCTCCTGGCTTCTGACACGACACTGTCCAGGCTTGGTTTGTGTGCATGTTGTGGGCCGCTGTGTTTGTACTGTGAACTATGGGGATGTCTGCACATGTGCCTGCTTACAGAACGGGTACATGATGGCGTCAGAAAGTGTCCTTATCAGATCACCAAGGCCTTTATGTAGAGACCACACCTCGAGGTCCATCAGTCCATGAGCGTGAAGACTGGGATGGAGCTGATGTTTCATTGATCTGATCGGCTGAAGTTAGCGTGTGATGGACGGTGATAGAGAGACGGTCCATCCGGTCCATCCGGTCCATCCGGTCCATCCAGTCCTCTGCCAGGTGGTTTTATCATATGGTGTGACTTCTCAGACGCCTTCAGGTCAGCTGGACGGCAAATACGAGCAGAAAGGTTTCACTTACCATCATTTCCATTTTCAGCTGACCTGTCGATGACTTTCTTGATTACCAGGTCTTTTTTTGTGCTCAGGAAAAGGTGGGAAACGTCTGTCAGTGTTTCCTAAAGCTGGAGGTGACGCCCTCGGAGGTCTGATTATGTCCACGACTCAAAGATCTTCAGTTTACTGTCACAGAGGAGGAAAGAAACGATAAAATATTCAAACTCAAAAAGCTCGAATTGGAAAGTATCTACTTGCTTTTCTCGAAAATAAAAATTCTCAAACTTTTTATTTGTCATCAGAATGGTTTGTTATAAATATAATAGTTGGCAACTAATTGATGAAGTGATTAATCAGTGCAGTTCTAGCTGATAAATACATTTAGGATATAGTATAGTATAATAGCTCCTTTATTATTAATATGCAAAGTGAATCCCTCACACATTCCTTTAATTCTTATTGTTATAAATACTTTCTGTTTTGGGTAAAATGTGGGTTGGCGGGTGTTTTTAGCTGCATGAAGATAGTTTCACGCAGTCTTGAAGGACCCATTTTCCACCTAACAGGAGGTCAGAGGAGGAGACGGTATCCAGAGTCTGTCCCAGACGCTTGAGCTTCTCTGGATCGCTGTCGCCTCGGGCTGCCTGCTGGGGGTCCATATTCAAGGGCAGCTGGTAGTTCTGAATGAGGCTGTCTGGTTCTGTAGGTCATCCTCTGTAGAACGGTACCAACCGTGTCAGCAGGAACCACCAAAGATAAACTGACACTGGGACATGTTTAGGAACAAAAAAACAGCGATACAACACTT